GCCCAGCAATGATTTTTTTGCTCTTATTCTGCCCCTTGCTTCCTGCAGTGGCTTTCAGACTAAACAGGACCAGTTTTGCCCAGTTCCTTTCCACAGAAGCCCTGGGACTCGCTGAATCGCCAGCTTAGTGATCACAACCTGAGAATCTCAAGTGAGACTGTTTGCTTTCAATCTAGCTCAGCCACTTTAATACCTGTGTTATCTGGGCAGTGTACTTGGACTTTCTTTGCCGTTTTCCCATCTGTAGAGAGGCGTAATAATAGTACTGCTGCATAATGAGCTTGAAAAAATTAAACGCTTCCAGTTTTTGAAACTTCCCGTTCCACTATTCACTCCACGGACTATTTCCTTTTCCTGTAGCCACAGCTGCTTCCAGCAGCCACTGCAGAGCTATCCCCCAGAGAAGCCGCTATGGCTCCCAAGCCTCGTTAACCTTTTGTGGTTGCGGAAGTCGTCCTCAAGGTCACTTTCTCACCATTCACATGCGAGCGTGCACCAGGCAGACATGGCCTCCAGCTGCCTGCCACACGCAGTTTCTCAGCCCTTGTTCCTCACAGGTCCTCAGCCGTTGGCTGGATTTGTACTTGTCATGGTGTTATTACATGATGTACTCGTCAGGAGATATTTCGATAAATTTTCATAATGTGGCCACACTGCACATTATTCAAATTAGAATAGCTGTCTCTGGGTTTTCTCATAGGCTGATAGTCCAGTGAGTTCTTTATGACTTTGAGGCAAATTTAAATATGTGAGCTTCAGTATTCTGTATATGTGCTTTTGGGCCTGTGGCATTCTGGAACACTGAAGGAGCATCGCTTAAGGAAAGTACCACCTGAACTTTAGTCATGTGAGTACTATGTAGGCACGTGGGGTGAGTTTCTTTGTCCACTGAGGGGGAAAATGTGGGTTCCTGAGTCAGGCTGCCTGGGTTGGAATCCAGCTTTGCCATCCAACAGCTCTGGAATCTGGTCTGTGTCCTTGAACGTTCTGTGCCTGAATTTTCCCATCTATGAAATGGGGATGATATTACTACCATATAACAAGCTTGAGAGAATCAGTCCCACAGGAAGCATGAGAAGAGTGTCTGGTGAGCATAGATCCAGTTGTGGGAAGGGTGGTCTGCAGTGCAGCCTGCCTCGGGAGATGGGCTGGGTAGCCAGTGGGAGCTCACCCATTATCTGGTGCCCAACCCTCCTGGGAGCACCCTGCTTCTCTGCTTTGGTTCCTTCCAGTCAGATGGCTGCTGCTCATTAGATTCCATAATGTGCAGCATCCTCCACTCCCTGGGTCCTGCCTCTCTCATCTCATAAGTAGCATTCTGGTTTTACCAGTTTGCTGCTCCTTGAACACAACAGATTGTTTCATTGCCCTCTGCCTCCTCTCTGGTCCCGCACTCAGGCCCCAGCCAGGTAGAGCCAGCAAGGCCCTGCACTGCCACTGTCATGTGTGATGGAAGGTGGCCTGTCCCATTGTGATGTCATCTGGGGCATCGTGAAGTTGAGGACTCTTCTTAGCTGGCCTGAGTTTCTTTAGCCTCCGTCTAATACCCAGGACCCTGCCATCACCCACTGTGGGGCCAGCTGCTCAGACCAGCCCATTCGCAGAGGGCTCTCCCCAGGTCAGGGCCTGACACCTGCGGTCAGAAGGGCAGAGTGACCCATTTCTCAGGCTCTACAACACGATCAGACAGGCGAGAGCAGAGAGAGTGCAACACAGAGCAGCCTGGCTTCAAGGCTGCACACGGAGCACCATGTGAACAAAGAAAGCACATCCTATGTCACAGAGCCAGGCCCAAGGAGACCAAAGAGGCCAGTCATGCACACTGTGTTTTATGGTCATGACTTAGCAACATTAATGAAGCAAGAGTGCAACCTGACCACCACCCCCATCTCAAAACCTGTATATTTGGAAAATCCTGATAGAAATCATGAAATATTTAGAATCAAATCACAGTAAAAACTACACGTCTACACTTGTGAAATGTCGCTGAAGTGATGCTTAAATGAAAATTCGAAGCATGAATTCATACGTTAGAAAGGAAGAGTTAAAGTTAATGATCTATGTGTCCATGTCAAGAAATTAGAAAATGACACTAAAGCCAAATAGATCAGAAAGATGAAAATAATATAGATGAGCAATAGAAAGGCTGGCATTTGGGTTAGGTTATGTTGTTATAAAGAAAAAAATCTGACAAAAACATAGCCAGACATGAATACCTATTTAGCATCTATATATTCTGAATGTTTCTCTTTGCTTGCATTCTAGTTCTCAAAATTGATTTGTAAAAACTACAGGCCAGCAAAGCAAACATTAATTTTGACTTTTTTTTAAGTGAGTGCCTACAATTTGAAACGTGTTTTAGTGGCTTTCCCATTGGGCTCTCAGATGAAAAGACAGGAGACTTTCTGATCCTGTTTTGAAGCTCTGGGCCTTCACATAGCCCTCCCATACCTCTGTGCAGCTGTGCAAGAGGGGGCTCTTTAACAAGTCCCCCAGGTCTCCAGCATGGATTGGTGTTCAGATTAAACCATCCCAAATCCCCCCAAATTCAGTGGGAACCTGCCTGGCTGCTTCTGCAAAAGGCAGTCGCAAGCAAGTAGAAACTTAATTTTTGTTCAGCTAGGTGAGAGAGAGCAGTTATTAGATACCATTAGTGATGTGACTTGGAAATAAAAATGTTCCTCTGATAACTTTTTCCAGCTTCTGAATTACTTTAATTAGAGACTCTCTGAGCTTGAAGGGGCAGGTGTTGGGTGGTTACCATGAAGACTTCTTATCAGTGCCGATCAGGACTCCTGTTCCCATGTCACTGAAATAAAATAGAGTGGTGACTGAACGAAGCACTGGGCTGACAAAGGCTACGACTTTGATTTCCAGTATTTGCTTCTCCCAGTCAGGGCCACCGCCGTTTTACAATGCAATCCTCAGGGAGCACAGCAGCACCCACCCTGCGCATGCCTTCTGGCTGCTTGCACTCCAGGCAGAGCTGAGGAGTTATGGCAGAGACCTTATGGTTCTAAAAAGTCTAAATATGGACTATTTGGGCTTTTACAAGAAAAGTGAGCTGACCCTGCTCCAAACAGGAACATTGTTCTCTTTGACTTGTTAATCTATATATCCTATCTAATATGCTAACTAACCCTCACACCGTGGCAAAGATGGCGGCGCCCACAGCCAATAAGGAGGGGATATGCTAATTGACTCTCATACTGTCGCAAAGAGGGCAGCACCCACAGCCAATAAGGAGGGGATATGCTAATTGACTCTCATACTGTCGCAAAGAGGGCAGCACCCACAGCCAATAAGGAGGGGATATGCTAATTGACCTGCCACACCCTCAAAGATGGCAGTGCCCAGTTCCCTCAGTCCCACCAGGGCAGCAGGCACAGGGCAAGGCTGGGCCTGCCCCCAGGGGCCTGGCCTTGCCTTGCCTCACACCTGCCTCTGAGTCCCCCAGTCCTCTCAGCCCCCCAGCCACCCAGGGCCGCCTGAGGCTCAGGTAACCAGGGCCGTCCAAGGCTTGCGCTGCCGGCAGTGGCAGAAGCAGAGGTGTGATGGGGGCATTGCCTTCCCCTGAGCACCAGGTTGCCTCCTGCCCCTGAGGGCTCCCGAACTGTGAGAGAGAGCAGGCCGGGCTGAGGGAACCCCCCCTCCAGTGCATGAATTTTCATGTACTGGGCCTCTAGTATACTAATAAAACCTTAAACAACTTGTCAACTGTTTGACCAGTCTACTGTTTGACTGGTTGTTATGACACTCAATGACCACCAGGGGGCATACACTCAACGCAGGAGCTGCCCCCTGGTGGTCAGTGCGCTCCCACAGCTGTAGTGCAGTTCAACTGCCCGATGACAGGTGCCAGATGCCAGGCTCACAACTGGTGAGCACAGCTGTGGCAGCTCGAGCCTCTCCCACCTCTGTGGCAGCACTACCAAGTGGTGGAGGTGGCGGTGCAGCAGGGCCGGGATAAATGGGAGCAGCACAGTGCCCATCCCTGCTCAGGCTCTTCCCTAACACACTACTACATCCCCCGAGGGGTCCTGGATTGTGAGAGGGCACAGGCCAGGCTGAGGTATCCCATTGGTGCACGAATCCGTGCACTGGTCCTCTAGTGTTGTCATAAATGTAAACATACAAAATGCATGGATAATAAAACACTAGTTTTTCTTCTATTGGTGCTTTACACAAGATTTTATCCTAAAAGCAAGCAAAGGAATCTGTTGCTACGAGAACTTGGAAACTGCTGTGTTATGGCATCATATCAGGGAGGTGTTACTACATTTGGCAAAATGAAGCTAATTCTATAGGTAAGGCCTGGGAAAATTAGTCTTCAGATCTTCAAGAACTGAAAATAACTGTCAGGTTGCTAGTATTGGAGGCATTTTTTGAACTTAAAATTATCCTCTTAACATTTGTTTCTCTGTGACAAAATAGAACAAATGTAGCCCTTCAATGATTGCTTAGACATGGTTTAGAAATACCTAGGTTTATTTTTTTAAAGTTTTTATTGATTCCAGAGAGAGGGATAGAGAGAGAAACACCAGTGATGAGAGAGAATCATTGATTGGCTGCCTCCTGCACACACCCCCTATTAGGGATCGAGCCCACAGCCCAGGCATGTTCCTTGATCGGGAATCAAACCATGACCTCCTGGTTCATAGGTCAATGCTCAACCACTGAGCCACATGGGCTGGGCAATACATGGTTATTTTTTAAAGTATATGTACACTGGCAAAGTTGGTAGATGTTGTTCCTTTCCGCCAAATTTTAAAAATCACAATTATTATACTTTCTATAAAAAAGTTAGCAACACTCCAGCACCCACAGTCTTATTGCCCCTAATTGGGCTAATGGGAGTCCTAAGCATTCATGGGATCCCACAGCATGAGGGCGGAAACTGAGTGGGACACCTCCTCAAAGTTCCCCTGCCTGGGCCATCAGCCCAACTCAGTGCCCTCCAGAACCAGAGGTATTCACCGATTCCCTCTGTGTCTTTGAAGGGTATTCCCTGAGTCCCTCCGGTGGCTGATGGCGACCCAGCAGTTTGAGTCTGCGAAGAAGTTGATCCTGCACTTCACCCAGAAGAACTCCATGAACACCGAGACTGACATCAAAGGCGTGATGCCCGGTGAGTACAGGCCCTGGGAGAGGCGCCCCTGTCCTGGACCGAGTGTCAGAGCAGTTCCCCGATGCTGGGGATGGCTGGTTTTCCAAGCAGCTGTCCTAGCTAGCGGCTTCATGTCCTGTGATGGTTGCTTAATGTCTGCAGATAGGCTAGGAACATGGGCGGATTGAAATTCTCTCCACCCTCTAGGAGTTGGGTCTTTCCTGGCCAGGTCTGACACACTGCGGGGCCCCACATAGCCTGCCCAAACCCCAACGTGCAGTGTGAGCCTAATGTGCACCTGGTCACCAAGGGAACATGCGGGGGGCGGAGGGGCAGGTAAAAATGCCCGAGCCTGGCACAGCCCTGCCTGCCTGCCTGCCTGCCTGCCTGCCTGCCAGGTCCAAAGGTCCTCAGAGCACTGGCTGGGAGCGGCTGGCTTCACTACCTTTCTTTTCCGAAGTGCGACCTCGGGGAGCCACCACTGTCTATACCTCTCATGACCAATTTGTGGGGGCTGAGGAAGTGGGAGCGTGAAGCATTTCTGCAGATGTGTTCAGGCCCACTGGCAACATCCTCCCAGGGCAGATCCAGCTCTCAAGCTTCGGCTCCACAATATCACCAGGAGGCTGTTAAAATCCAGGCTCCAGGGCCTTCCCTGGCACCAGAGGTTCTGATCCAGTCAATTTGGAATAAGCCCTAAGAACCTGCGCTTTTAGTAAACACTAGGAAGGATTCTGGCGCCCACGGTGCACAGACGCCCTTTTGAAAGCCCCTGGTAGCCCCAACCCAAGCCCCGCCCCACTCCCCTGACCTGAAGACCCGTATCGATGGCACTGTTGTTATAAATTTCCCAGGCAAATAATCTGCAGGCCCTTGTCCCAGAGAGATATGCACATTTCCCACCGTGACCTAAACTTGGATGCCGCAGACATTCACTAAGCGCCAGGCACTGCTCCGGAGCAGAGAAAGCAAGAGGCAGAGCCTTGCTCTCGTGGAGCTTGCAGGCCGGTGTGCAGGCCCACAGTGCACACGGAGATGTGTAATGCGCCCGGGGGATGCGTGCTGTAGGAAAAATCTCAGGGCGGAGGGCTTGCGGGCGGTGGTGCGGACCCACTCCAAGCGCTGGGCAGCCTGGCTCCAAGTACAGGTGAGCAGACACCTGCGTGAAGCTGGAGAATGTGCTGGTGCCAGTCCCGATGGGAAAGGAGCACGAGCAGAGAAGCTCAGAGCCCACTGGCCAGGAAAGGCTTCTGTACGCGCCTCTTCCGTGGTCCGAGACAGGCTGCTCACAGCCTCCTGACTCAGGGGATCTGGGGTTCAGTGTCCCAGATGCTGCTGCTCGGTCAGCTGAGCCCCTGCCTCGGCCTGTGCCCAGGACCTGGGAGGTGGGGACAGCAAGGCCAGGCCACCTCCACGTCAGCACAGGCAAGAGCTCAGGAGGCCCAGAGCCCAGGCTTTACTGGAACAAAGGAGGACATGCGCCAGGTCTGCTTTCCGAGAAGAGCACTGAGTGCTGGTGCTCTGCAGAGGGCGGCTGTGGCCCTTGTCCCACGGCAATGACCAGACACTTTTCTAAATGACTTGCAAATGTTAACTTACATCTAATATTTACCCCTAAATGCTTGATGTGTACTAACTTATATTTCTTCCCAACTTGAGTCCTCTGAGGGGGTTACTATAATCATCTGCGTTTGCAGGAGGGGAAACTGAGGCACAGGGAGGGTTAAGTATCTTGCCAGAGGTCACATCCTGAGTAAGTAGTTGAGTGGGGACTTGAGCCCAAGAAGTCCGGCAGAAGCGGCTTCGCTGGCTGTTTTTGAGAGAGGGGGCCGGGCTCTGAGACAAATGTGCCTGTTTGGAGAAGAATTCGTATTGAATTCACTTTCCTCCTTTTGGGCATGTTTGCTGATTTTGGAGGGTCCAGCTATCTTCCCGAAACTTATCCAGGCCCCATTCATTATGAAGATAATGCTCTTAAGTCTTTCCGTGTAATTTGTTTCGGGAATTTCCCTAATTAAATCACATGTTCTACTTCTTTCAGGTTGAAATACTGTCTGGGAAAAGCTTGTTTTCTCAATCCGAATTACACTCATTCATTTCCCTCCTATTTCTGGAGGGAAATGAATTTTCCCCTTTCTTTGCCTCTGAGTTTTGCTGGTGTGATTTTTTATGCTGGTGCCCCTGCCGGAGGCTGGGGGGCGGTAGCTGGCACAGGTGGCCTGCCCTCCCCTCAGGAGGATAATCACACATCCACTCCTGGGGGGCTCTGCGTTCACACCTGCCTCCTGATCTTGTTCACACCCAGCTCTCGAACACACTGATGATAGCATCGCGGCAGAAGCCGCCCAGTGCTTGCGGGAAGACAGGTGTCTGTTTCATCTAATTTGGTCACTTCCAACTTTCTTAGGCTGGACTCGCTTTTCTGCTGGAAATCTTCCCATCGCCTCACCTAATCCACCTCCCAACACCTAGTGTCCTACTTCGCCTCTTACCTTCCTTGACTCCATCCTCACTGCTACCCTTCCCCTCACATCACCTCCTACTCAGAACTGCTCCCCCGGACCCGTAGGCTAGACCCCCAGTCCTCCAACTGCTCTGAGACCCTGTCTCACGTCTGCCTGCCTCTCGCAGATGCTCTGGCCTTCGCTGGGCCCTCAGAATGCACCAGTGCCTCCTGGCTGCAGGGCCCTCCCCGTCCTCAGCCTCACCCTCGTTCGGCCAGCTCCTGGGAAACCAGTCCTCAGGTTAGCCTGACTCCTCAGACCCTGGCCAGCTCTCCAGTGGTGCACCATCTCAGCTGCAGGCAAAGGGGCCCGTTGCCAGCATCCAGCTGTGACGAACGGTTTGTGTAGCTCCTCCGGGCCCATCACCCTGTGTCTGCAGAGCCTAGTTCCGCTGTTGCCCAGCACTAGCAGACCTGACTGCTAGCAGGCCTTCCACAAAAGCTAGTAAATACATGAAACGTGGTCAGCTGCAGTTACTGGTTGTGTTGCCTGGAGGTGGAGGAGTGTCTCAGGTTGGGCTGCAGGTGTATGCATCAGGGGAGCTCCTGACCCTGTCAGCGTATCCTAATCTTGGATTCAGGCCAGAAGAAAACCTCATGTTCCAAAATGTTCCATGCCCTTCATCTTTTAAACAGATCTTCAGTTTATTACTGAACATGGCAGATTTTCTCAGTGGAGTTTGCAGCTGAATTACCACCAATATTTGGGTCTGCTCTGGAGTGTCATTATCACAGTATCACTCCTACAATCATTAGTGTCACATGGCATGTCCAAGCACTGACAGTTCTCCTTCTATCATAATTCCCAAGATTTTGAACATGTACTGCAGGAGTAGAGCCTGCTGGTTTCAAATGTGGCCACATGGACTGCAGCCACTGTACAGAGAAATCTTGGAATAAGAGCTCCACCCCTGCTCCTAGTCGCAGCAATGCCGGCAGTCACTGGGCAGTGCCCCCGCAAGGCCTGGCGGAAACACTATGTGCACATGATCCTCATCAGAGCCTTAGGAGGACCATAACCAGACCATCCTGCTGTACATCTGAGGAAACGGGGCTCAGAGAGGCTGAGTGTTGGGGAGCACTGCTTCCCCACACCCCACATTCCCTCCTTGTGGAAGGAGCCAGACCCAAGGAGGCAGAGCGGACCCCCTCTCCTCTTTTTCTCCTGGAGTATGGGCCATGTGCAGGGTGCAGGGTGCAAGTCCTGTGTCCTCAGACATCAGGCCCTCTGGGCAGTACCTGGGGAAGCCAGCGTGGCCCAGCCTTGCCAAGATGGGCAGATGAGTCTGTACGGTGCAGGTATCCCAACCTCAGGTCCCTCCCAGTGGTGGAGCACAGATATTGTCCTTACCTGCCTTGCTTTTTATCTTCTCCATCTGTTTGGAACCTGAAGTGAGAAAAGAGGGGCCACGTATCAGGCCACTCAGGGTCCCTAAAAATAGGTAACTTGTCCAAAGTCCTTCTCCTCCTGCCCCTCATGCTCCTCCTTCTGCTGCTGCTGCTCCTCCTCCTCTTCAGTGTCCGTCTTGGAGCCGTTGGAAGCGCTTTTGTGCCGTACCTTAACTTTGCTCTGCATTTCCGTGGCCCTCTTAGGAGGTGGGTTTTTCGGGAGAGTGGCTGAGTCTACCCCTCCTCCTGCTGCTCCTCCTCCTCCACCACCTGCTCCCTCTCCTCCTGCTGCTCCTCCTCCTCCACCACCTGCTCCCCCTCCTCCTGCTGCTCCTCCTCCTCCACCACCTGCTCCCCCTTCTTCTAGCCCTCCTCCTCCTCCACCACCTGCTCCCCCTTCTCCTGCTCCTTCTCTACCTGATCCTCCTGCTCCTCTTTCTTCTTCTCCTCCTCCTCCTCCTCCTCCTCCTTTTCCTCCTCATCCCCCTCTCCTCCTCCTCCTCCTCCTCTCTTCTTTTTCTCATTCTCCTCCTCTTCTTCCATCTTTTTGCTTCCTCTTCCTTACCTCCCTTCTCTTTTGGTCCTTTCTTGTTTTTTATTTCTGTATCTGACGTTTTTCCAATGTTACCAGGAATGCATTAGCAGTGTACACAAACTTAAAACACAGCCAGTTTATTTCACACCCCATCCAAGTGAATGCTAATGACCCTTGACATGTGTTTCCCCTGCATCTCTGAGGCTGGCCTCTTCTGTTCTCGGGAAGTGTCCTTTGGCCTCTCCCCTGGATATGCAAACCACGGAGAGGTCATGACCCTTCCAGTGTGTCTGCAGGGACACCTTCCCTTCTGCAGTCAGTGTTGAGAAGTGGGGACAGACTGGGTCAGCTTTTCATTCGGTTCTTGTAACAGTGCTCTGAGGTGGGGACAGTGTTCCACTTAACAGATGAGAAACTGAGGCACAGAGCAACTAAGTAACTTTCCCAAGGAGCCTCAACAATAAAGGCTGAAAGCCGGGACTCTGCTGGGTCTGTGGGCCCCTCACTGCCCCCCCCACCCCCCACCCCCGTTCTGGAAGGGAGACCCTGCCCAGACAGACCCAGGTCCTCTGGCTGCATCTCACAGGGACTAGCCTGGGGGCAGAAGAGGGGGCAGAGTGACAGGAGGTGCCTGGCCTGGGTGGGAGATTCCTAACTTGACCCTATTTGTTTTTTGTTTTGAAATGTTCCTGATGGCTCGAAGCCAGAGGGTGGAAGAGTCCTGGCTGGGAGCAGGAGGAGAATTGCTTTAACAGCTGTTTCCTTGAGGCAGAGTCTGTCGACCCTCGTGCCCCTTTTTACCCGTTATTCCCGAGTGCAAGGACTTCACAAAGTCCCTGCGATTTCTGTCTGATAAGCAGAGGTGGAAAGGCTTCTTTCGTTACCTATGCAGTGACCTCCGGAGGTCTCAGACGGCCTCTACTGTTTCCTGTGACCCGGCTGGTGGACTTTTGTCCCAGAACAGATTAGTGCTGAGAAAGTGTATGTTGTTGTTGGTAGGCTGGTGGGTGATGTGTCTAACGGACAAAATGTCAGTGGCCCAGACAAGTTCATTTCATTCCAATTAGAATGCAATTCCTCTGTAGACTGCAGTCAGTTCTTCAGACCTGGGGGTCTCGAGTTTAATGTTATATAAAAAACAAAACTCGGTCTAGTTACAATTGCTACAGCTTCTTTAGCAACATCTGTTTTACTTCTAATAATGTGTGAGTAGTTAAGTTTGGACCACATTTAAAAAAACACAACCTTTAAACTTATGTAAACATCTTAATGGGCATTTAAGGTTTCTTCTTGTAAGATTTTCATGGTGAGCAAGTGGAGCTATTATAGTTGATTCCTGGTAAGTTTTACAAAAGTGAAATTACTCAGGTCACTGGATCCAACATGATCTATTAACTATAATATTTCTATATTCTTTAAAAATTTTTTAGATTTTTAACCAGGAGGAAAGTATGTTTGTAAATCAAATTAGTCCATTTTTACAAAGGGGAGCATAAAAGTCAGGAAGACCTCAGGAGAGGGTCTGTGGACACAGCCGAAATGCCAGCCGTCTGGCTTGTGCCCAGACCTCAATCTTCACACCTAAATATGGAAAGGAAGAAAGTTCTGGAAACTCAAGTGGCATGGTATCTCTCAGCCATAGGAGAGGCTTTTTCTTCTCCTTTCTATGCCACAGCTGGTGACACTGGTCCAAAAAAATTTTTATTTAAATAAAAAGCTCCTAAATCCTTATGGTTAAGCAAAATATTTTCCTTCCAACTGTAACTAATGAGGCTGGCGGCCCTCCTGCCATCGGATGGCAGGAAGGAGGTAGAACAGGAGAGAAGTAGGGGGGCAGGTGGCAGGGTGTGGGTGTGGAGGGCACTCTTCAGAGACTCCCTGAGGGAGCTGCTGCTCTGGGAGGCAGGCCTGTTTCCTCTCAGCACCGAAGGCTTCCTAGCATACGGGGAACTTCCCACCCCCACTGCTTTTTAAGAAAAATGTAGTAGACTTTTTTGGGATAACTTTAAGTTTTCAGAAAAGTTGCAAAGTAGTACAGAATTTCTGAATACCCCAGACTCGGTCTCCCCTCTTATTACCATCTGATATTCCCACGGCACAGTTGTCACAGCTGAGAAACTGCCACGGGGACGCTACCGTTAACGAAACGCCGGCCTTTACCTGCATGTCACCATCTTCCCATGAGAAACCTCTTCCTGCTCCAGGATGGCACTTAGCCCGTTTCCCCAGTCCCTTCCGACTACAGCAGTTTCTCAGTCTTTCCTTGTTTTCGTGGCCTTAACAATCTTAAAGAGCACTGGCCAGCCACCCAATTGGTTAAGTCGTCCTTTTCCCTTTTAGCTCCCGAGTAGGGGATTATTCCCCCAGGACAGGCCTGGGCAGGAGCAAAAAGGGCCTGGGGGCCTGGACGGTGGCTTTTCTGCACACAGAGGGGTAGGGAGGCCGTGGAGGTCCAGATGTTGCCAGTTTTGATCTTCCATGTTAACTTGCTAGTCAACACCAGCACTTGAGCAAACCCATGAACCCAGTTAACGCGGCCCTGGGATGCCGTCAGTCTGTTCAGAATGGCTTTTGGAGCCCGTTTGAGCCTCGCAAAAAACTGTCTCCTAACTGTGTGGTTGGTCACATCACTTGCAGCCAAAACATCGTGTCTTTCCAGCTGCCAAAGGCTGTGAGCGTTAAAAGTATACCCACGTGTGGATTGTGTGATCTGTGTGTGCACAGATAGGCACCCAGTTCCTGCATTTATTTCTCTTTCGAAGATGCATGCACTGGAGGGGCGGTGTCGGAAGCAGCAGCTACGCCATCATGCGTTCCGCCCACAGTTAAGGAGCATGCCAGCATGTGCTTCTCTGAGCAGTGGGCGGTGCCACTGTTCTCAGTGCCCAGAGCCCAGTGAGTGCTCAGGATCCTAGAATCACCCTTTGGCCCTGACCTCTGCCCGTGTGGAATGAGCCTGCACTAATCACTGTGTGTGTGTCCTTCCTGGTTCCCAGGAGAGGCTGACAGTGAGCACGGCTCCCTCCACACCCCACCCCGCGGGGAATCTGAACAGCCAGGTTAGAGTATGTGAACACCTTCGCTATCCTGACAGCCAGGCCCTGTCCCCTGCCTTAGAGGGGAAACCCCACAGCATTCTCCCCGTTCACGATGCCTGATTGGGCACCGGCTGTCTTTGAGCCGCCGGTCCGGGCCTTGCGGAGAGGTCACGCTCTCTTTCTCCACAGAGCTGGAGAAGGAGCTGTCCCGGAGGCCCAAGAAGGTCTGCATCGTGAAGATGGTGGGAACCCGGAACCTGTGGAAGAACATCGTGGTCCTGTGTGTGAACTCGTGAGTTGCAGAGGGACACATCCCAGGGCGAGGACAGGGAGGGGCCGGAAAGGGCCTCCAGGCCCTCCTCCTTCCCAGCTGGTTTTTGATTTATGGCCGAGCTGGCCCCCTGGCCTGCCCAGGGCTCCGCCCTTCGCTGAGGGGCCCGGCTAAGTCTTATAAGCCTGTCAGAGCTTTCTAACCAGTTGCTAGAGGATATGGGCCCCAACCCCAGCCTCAGCGCAGCTAGAGCCCCAGCCAGCCACCTCAGGCTGCACAGGCGGGGCCCTGGGCTAGTCCACACAGATGTGCATCCTTTCAACCTTGAGAGGTTGGGCCAGGCTAGGCCTGCCATTCCCCACAGCTGTTTCTGTCAAAGCAGCTCCATTGAATCAGGTCTCGGCATTGGGGTTCCTGATTTAATTTGGAGAAGATAAAAAGTTTCTCCTGCCAGAGCGATAGGAACGCTCAGACCTCACTTACACCCTGTCCCCCAGCGGAGGAGACCATGGCCCAGGCAAGGGACTGACCAGCCATGGCCACCGGGTGGTCAGGGCCAAGACCTCATGCCTCAGCCTCCTGGCCCAGAGTTGGCCCCGGGCACGGTCACCGCACCACCGTCCATTGCCGGGAGCTGGTCCATCCTTGCTGTTTCAAGGGACCTGGCATATATGGAATACTGTTCTTAATATGTTTGCTCACCTTCTTGGCGCTTTGTTTTAACCAAGGTCACCTCTCCGAGAAAGGTTGTTTCCCTCCCATCTCAGGAAGACACTGGCTAGACCAATAG